TTTAATTTAATGGAACTGACTTACTTACTGACTACAAATTTTGGCTTAACTTAGAAAAACTTAATGCCATTTATTTATTAATTACTCAATTTAAAAACGTTTTAGATTAGATTATAAAAATTAGTAACATTGTGGTCGATATAAAGCACTTAAAGTTGTAAACTATAAAGCCATTTAGAAAAAAATCCATTGACTTTTGGACCATGGGTCATATGAACTTTTTGACCCCCCCTATTACCCATTTCAATAATAACTACCATAACGTTTATACCCTGTATAGACCATCTGTAGATCGTGTCTTGTGACCGTCTCCAAACTGCCTATAGACAAATGGCGTAACGGGGTCTACTATAGTGTGTACTTGTGTACTAAGCTTAAGGATTATGACTCTGAACTGCCCATTAAGCAAATCAAGTAATTGGTGCAAATACTGACATTATCAAGCACTTCTATTATATCAGCAGGTGATAAAAATATCAGTAGGTATAGTCAAGTAATTTTTGAAATTCAATATAGATGTTACAGTTATTCTTCAGACTTTCGTCGTCGAATTTAGTTTTATGGTATAGTTGTTGTTTTCTCAGTTTACGAATCGATGTTGATCGCATATAAAAATGTTGAGAATCCTTGTAAAAAACTATATCTGTTAGATCGTATACTTATTTTGATAATGTATGTTTGTACGAAACAAGTAAAGGAATACAAACTATACATATTCACGTGTAGTGCAGAAGCTCTGTGACTTAAACGAATTCAATATAGCAACATAAATAGACACATACGAGGGAAGAGATGCGGGACCTGTCGTATTGACTTTTAGTATCCATCGACGCATTTTCTGGGCAGGCCACAGGCGCACCGCTAAACAAATCTCATAAATGTCTATTTCCAATTTAGGCGTTCATCTAACAGGGTGCTTCGCTGCAACACCAACCCCGAACAAAATCAGTCAAGCTTTACAGACTTTTCAAATCACTATTGAGCAACAAACAGAACATAAACCACTTTATAAGTGCAATCTGTATAGCTAATATATTACTCAGACTTAGATTTGTCACAAGTCACAATACTTGTATACACGTATAAATCGTAAGAATTGTGCTGTAAACGTAAGTGATGTCAAAGAGGGACAGCGTTTCTAATACCAAAGGATACCAAAAAATCTGAATGTTCAGTTTCTATAGCTATAACTTATAGTTAGTATGCCTCTGTCGCCTTGATGTGTCAGAAAGTAACACAATGGTGTTTTTCGGCCATAACATTTTTGTTATTAGTCGGATCTTTTTACATGTGGTCTGATTTTGTAGGTCTCATAAATACCTAAAAATCTTATTTCAAAAGTTTTTTCGTTCCTGTCAACACTTTCGATTGAATCCCATTCTTTGTTGTCGAATAAAAAGTTTCTTGAACAACAAGTCATATCTAAAGAGGATAAAAACATGGCTGCACTCCACTATGTTACAAGAGCGATTAGTGGGTTATTTAGCTCTTTTGCATATGCATAAGGATATTAAAATAGATGTGAATACAATCATAGATCGGTTCTCCAGTAAAAAGGATAGGCGCCTTGATTTTGTAATATGATAACAACTGAACTTTGCGTTATGTTGTCTCTCAAACCCATTTCCCTTCTGTTGGTCAATAAATAAAAAAGCAGGGTTTAAACCACCACGGTGATCTTTTCCAAAGTATCCAATCAAGATATGTGGTTTTATCTATTCGCCAGCAGATTGATATAAAAGTCTGTTCAAATTCTGTTCAAATCACTTTCTAAGCTAATGTAATGATTATTGTGAGACTGTGAACTGATGTAGTTTCATAGTTTATATGTATTTGTTTTTTGAGGCTGGGTAAGCGAATGTAGTTAAGCAATGAATATTTTTTGTGTTTTTCTTATGATTAAGAATTTTATTTTGATTTACATTCAGTTGTAGGCATACTTTATGGTCGTAACATATTTGTTATTGTTATTTTTTTCATGAAGATGTATTTTTTGTTGTTTTGTCTGACATTGTTATGTAGAAAAGTCTGTGATAGAATACATTATTTTACATTTTTGTCTAAATATAGTATAAAAAAATTGTTTGTATTTTCTACAGAAATTACTGTAACAAATTCATATGTCTGCTTTTACAGTTAAATCATTATAACACTTCAGTACATCACACTGAGAATTTACTTTCCATTTTACCCCTCCCAGACTGAAATGCTGGGAGCGCCACTGAATTATAAAGCATCTTTGCAATAGTTGGGCTGCAGCATGCAGTGGGCTGCTGCAAATTTGGACAAAAAAAAGAAAAAGCAAAACACTCATTTTACATGTTTGTAGGTGATGAGATATGTGAGAATTATAAAAATATTGATTTTGTGTGGCTGGTAATTATCTGAATTAACACAATCAATTTCCGATAAAAAAGAATGTAATCATTTCTTCGTAAATATCGAATCATCATATTAGCTTATTAGGCATCTCTTGAGTATTTCTTTTCAAAACGTTTTTTCCACAGATGTAGAAAATTCCAGTGAAAAGTATGGCAACTGAGCTATACATATAATGCGTCCCGTTTTGAAAATTCGTGTTTCAAGAAAAACGCTGCAATGCCGAATTTTTTTATTTTTTTTTTGTTTGAATAAGTGCACAATAGCTTCCCCCAATATTATTTTATTACCGTTTTTCCACACAAAAAAGACAACACCTTTTTTTAGGACCATTACAGTGGTGTGTCAACATTTCATAGTAGTAGCAATTATGTGCCCAGCAACCCAAGGAAGCTCTATATGAATGCAGACATTGATTATTTATCTACGTTTTTTCGATTATTAACAGATGATTTTTCAGGTTAGTAGTGAAAAAAAATTGATTCAAGAGGAAACAAATTCTGATTGTTTTTAGACAAAAAATATATTTCATTATTTTTTGTATGCTTGTTTATATTTTTTGCCGTTGTTGTCACAATCTTCCTTCAGCGGATGATTCATAAAACCAAAGAATTCTACTACTATCTTAAAATTGGAGCCTTGAAGTGTTGTAGGGCGCGTTTATCCTCCTGGGACCCAGCGTCCATTTAAATGGACATGCAGTTTTATACTTCCAGTTTCGTTAATTTAATATTTACGCAGCGTAGACCTCGCATCCACTACGTTGGACACTTCCGTGCTGCCGCCTAGTCCGATTCGGCCGACTTTAGTCTCGCACCTGCGCCGTGAATCAGTAAGTTTGTTTTCTGTTGTGATGGCGGCTGCACGTGATTCTCGTTTAGATGGTATGTAACCTATTTTTTAACATTATGTGCTGATTTAGGAGGAAATATATATTCGTTAATGTTTAATAGATACATTTAAACAGCTTTATAATAATAAAAATTTTAAATAACTTTTGTACTAGCCTAAATTATTTGCGTCCATTTAAATGGACATTGGGTCTATCTCATGAATATTTTTGATTTATTCGGAAAATTTATTTTAGCAATTTTTGGCAATAAACGAGTGCTTCGGCCAGGGGAAGATGACGAAAAATTGGAGCAAATACTACAACTCATTGCAAACGATGATTCTGACGTTGAAATGTCTGATGATGAAAATGAAATTGAAAATATGGATAATTTAGTACAGAGAGAGGACGAAATAAATGATGAAGACCTGGTGAGCAGCAGTGACGAGGAAGGAGAGGACAGAATTCCTCTTAGTGTCCTCAGAGAAAAGTTAAGAACGGCCAAACAAACTCCCAATTCTTCGCAGCGACAGTTTTGGAGAAGGAATGATACTTTTACACCTCCAAATTTTGAAGGTCCGTCTAGTGAATGCAGCGCACAGCTTCGCGATGGTTGGACTGCAAAATCGTATTTTGCCATGTACTTAGAAGGTGACATGTTCCAAAAAGTATGTGATTGCACAAATGCAAGGTATGTTGAACTTAAAGGAGTATCCCTTAGATTGACACTTAATGAGATTAAACATTTCTTTGGGATAATTTGTTTAATGTCCTGCCTAAAATATCCTAGAATCAGATTGTACTGGGCCAAACCCACGAGGGTTGCAGCTATTGCGGATGTTATGACTCGAGATAGGTTTTTTCTATAAGAAGTAACCTCAAAGTCGTAATTGATGGCAGCATCTCTGAGGAGAAACGCAGGTATGACAAATTTTGGAAAGTGCGTCCTATTTTAGAAGCAGTATTGCAGGGGTGCTTGCAGCTACCCAGAGAGAAAGTAGTTGCTGTGGATGAGCAGATGATACCATTCACTGGAACTTGTCAAATGAAGCAGTTTGTTAGGGGAAAACCCAATCCAGAGGGATTGAAAAATTTTGTTGTTGCTGCTCCTGATGGTCTTGTCGTAGACTTTGAACTATATCAAGGAAAAAATACGTTTCCAGATGATTCTGTAAAACGACTTGGTGTTGGACCTTCTGCTGTTGTTCGGCTTGGAAGAACATTATTTCCTGGAACTCATGTGTATTGCGATAGATATTTTACGACAATACCACTTCTTGAATATCTTCGCCAACAAAAGAAATATTGTACTGGAACGATTATGAAATCTCGCGTACCAGCGGCAGCACATTTAACTTCAGACAAAATGATGGCCAAGATAGGTAGAGGTAGCTCGGAACAAATTGTAAGGCAAGATGGCGAAATAGTGGTTGTACAGTGGTATGACCTGAAATCTGTACTTTTGGCATCTACTCGTCTAGGAATTCAACCTAGTGATGAGTGTAAACGGTGGTCTAAGAAAGACTCTAAATACATACAAGTTGCAAGACCTTACATTGTTGCTAAATACAACGATTGTATGGGAGGAATTGACCTGATAGACCGAATGATCAGCTATTACAGAATTCAAGCCAGATCAAAAAAATGGACTGTGAGAGTCATTTTCCATTTCTTTGATTTAGCATTGGCAAACTCATGGATTTTTTATCGAAGAGATAAAAAGATATTTCAAACCTCTACACGAAAAATACAGCAGTATCTAGATTTTAAAATCGAAATTGCCACGTACCTTTTGAAAAATGAATCCAACATTTTCCAAGAAAATATACGAGGTATAGGAACTCGAAGAAATCCTGAGGGTAATATCATTGTTGATTCACCATCAGCAGGCACCGAAAGAAAGCGGAAAGAACATTACCCAGAAATTGCCTCAGATTTAAGAAATTCGGTTCGATGTAAAAATGACAGTTGTACTAAAAAAACGAAGTTTTTTTGTAATAGATGTAACACATTCTTATGCATAACTGGCTACAGAAACTGCTTTATAGAGTTCCATAACAGATAAATTTAAGTTTACGTTTATTTTCTATGTTCTTATAAGTTTAAGTTTTAATTTTAAATGTATTTTTAACCATCTAAATAACTTATACATTAGGCATTTTTGTATAGGTTAAGACCCAATGTCCATTTTAATGGACGTCATGTATCTTTCAAAATAAGAAAAAAAATAAAAAATGTCCTCAGTAAAGAATGTTTGTTAATGTATTTTCTGTTATATTTAAAAACGTCACAACTCTAACTTATGAAAAACATGTCTGGGTGTCAGGAGGTTATGGCCTCCTTGATTGTCATACTTCTTTCTCTCCTTCAAAAATTTCTAGATTACACTTGTCCCGTGTCAGCGTCAGCGCTCTCCCATTGTGAAGATATGTTTTTTTTTTAAATTGTAGGCAATTTCAGGCTGATAAAACATGATACAACTCAAAAGTAAGCACAATTTGATGCAAATAGATGTTTGTGACATAACCTGAAAATAGAGCGCTGACACGGAGAAGTAGAAAACTATGACAATCAAGGCGACCATAAACGCGCCGTACAATTGTAGAGACGACTGACGATACGGGCCTAAGAAATGAGCAAAATACCATTGGATATTGCTAAAACAAAAATGGCTGATAGGAACACTTTTAATGACCAGCATTCCCTCCTTTGTGATTTTTGTGACATGTAGTTGTTTTGTGCTCATCCATCATGAAAGAAGTGTTCTGCCATTTCTTGAGAGCTTTTTTTTAAGAAATTCTGTCGTTTTTGTTTATTTTTTCGGTGAATCTACACAATTAGTTTTTATATTAAGAAAGGTTAAAAAAAAGCCAAAAAACCAAGAACGACCCAATTCGTACAAAATAATATTACCATTTGCCATTTCACAGTGGATGCCTGAAATTAAAAATAGAGTATTCATTTAAATGATTGGATATTAACATGGATAAGGATAAAGAGAATTCATCAAAAAATGATACCAAAGACGATTTTGAGGCATCACTATCACTCATTAACTATTATCGAGAAGAAAGTAAGTATTGAATCTTGTTTTTACCTTTTGTATTATAAATATGCTTTGTTTTTAGATGCAAAGATGGTAGCAGTATTAGAGAAAACAGGACTGGCTGAGGCGGAACGGAGTCTGTATTCAAAATCTCTTCAAAATATGGTTGAAAGTATCTGTAAGGAAGAAAATAAATACGCACGAACTACTACAAACATGTCCCGTGCTGAAATGATTCGTAAGCACAGCAACTATGTCTCGAAAATAAGGATATGTATCAGAATGTATTCAAATCTCAATAATGTTCTATTGAAGGAAATCAGCTTTATGAGAGGGTATGTTCTTGTTAAATTTTCAACCCAGTCATAAAATTAGCAGAAAAATATTTGGGTTTATGGTATAATTTAAAAGAACATTACATACATGACTTGATGGAGTTAGGAATTTCAATGGTACTCTCCTATTTCATACATTTTTGTATTGCAATTGAAAATAAAATTCATTCATATGGGAAAATTTATTGAGAGCCATGGTTTAATGTTAGTATGTAGTAGTAATGGTAGTACATTTATTCATTCTTTACTAAATGAGTGCAACTACTTTTAGGAAGATACAGAAGTCAAAAGAAACAGTAAGTGACCTAAATGTTAGCTTAGAGAAATTACAGCAATTAGAACAGACTAGCATCAAGTATGAAGCAGAAGTAAGCAAATTTGAGGTGAGCACATCATATAAATACTCTGCAATATAGGAAATCATAGTTAAGACAAAGTTTGTAGTGTATCAAGGTTAGGGAAAACTTGAATTCCATACTAACAATTCTTTTGCAATACAGAACTAAATCAAGCAAGCTTCCATATTGGACTCTAAAAGCTAGGTGCCAACTTAAAAGTTTTATGAATAACTTCTGTTATAAATCACACTTTTTGGAGTTTTTTCTCAACCATAGGAAAATAGAAGTTTTCATAAAACCTATAAGATGTCGCATTGTTCTTAGGGCCCTACATGTGAGACTACAGATTTATGCTCCTGGAGCTGGTTTATTCAATGATTAATTACCAGTAGATAAGTATGTGTACAGCGTTGGTACAACAGGATCAGCAAAAAGGGTCATAGGTGACCTAGTTGCCAGGCTTTGTTTGCCCACTACTACTACTACTATTACTACTGCTACTAGCCAGATATCCCAATATGAGGCAGTCAATTGGGGAATGTTATTTCACCTCATGCAAGAGGATCTGTAATCCTAGAGATGGCAGTCAGGCTAGATCTGGTCATTTTGAACTGTGGAAAAGTCTATACCTACATTCTATCAAAGTGGGGACAATTTTCAATGTTGATATCGTCTTCATGAGGGCATCAGCAACACCTTGGGAGGTGCTGGATGACTTTAGTTGACCACCAGATTTCAAATGTCTGGGAATTCTTCCCGAAATCCATTTGAAGGGAAGAGATCTGATCCATGTTGGAATGTGATACATTTGAATACCACAGCTTTTCTTTATTCTCAGAAAAACCCAAACCTTGATAACTATTAACAATCAACTGATTGCTGCAATGCCTCAATGCCTATGCACCACACTAACAAGAGCAAACCTCCAGTATATTGTTGGACTGTAGAAATTGTAAGTCTGCACAAAAAACTTTACAACTCTGAAGCAAAGCTTTGCTATGTGAAGTCATGAATAGAGAATCTGGGGCCTTGGATATAAAATAGCGATGAAGCATTTAGGAGTGCAGAAGTCCCTAGGCTGTTTGGTTTGGATGCAAAGATATATGTGAAAATTGTTAACATGTTGTTCCCTAACCTTACAATAAGTGCACTTGAAGAGCTAATATACCCTATTTCACAACAAGTAACCATTATGGTAGAACAACAGGTGAGTATCCCATATCTCGAAATTCCCCATATCAGCACAGGACACAATTCTGATGGATCCGTCAACTCCAGGTAGACAGCTCTTTTATTTAGAAAAGTTCATTTGCCTACAAAAAACATGACACCACAAACAAGTTTTACTACATTTGTACCCGATCCATTTTTGCCAACGTTGCAGACTAACACAAAATGTTTACTATTGAAGATCTTGGCGTAACTACAGGGGCAGTGAAAACTTGCAAAGCTCCTAACCCCATTGGAATCCCAGGAGAAAAGTTGGTAGCAAAAGATTGTCCTTTCGTTCTACTAAATATGTATAGTAATGCCTATAGGCTGATATATTTGGTCAACAGTAGAAGATCCATAAGCAATTTTACATACAAGAAAAGGTCCCACAATCACTCCATCATTCAGACCTCTGTGTGTGTTGGCAGAAGCTGGTAAATATGTTAAGAGGATAATCAGTTCTAAATTACGAATACCGGAGGAAGAACCTGGCTGATTCATCCAAAATTCAGGATAAATCATTCAGCTTTAGGTGCTTTGCAGGATATAGTTAGTACAGCACATGTAGCTTTGCACGGAAACTACACGTCAACAAGCATATGTGTTCTGGTAACTTTCGACCTTAGAAACTTCTGCTTGTATCCTCGGAACCCTCAAAAATCAATTTAAGAAACCTTCTTACCGCCTTTGACTAAATAGCGATTATATGATCAGCAGAGGACTGGTGTATAAAACCACGGAATAAACCCAATACAAAATGATTTCGTCGGAGGTGGCTCGGAGATTAGCGCTCGGTCCAGATTTATGATGACGTTTTACGGATGGAGATGACAAGGGCAAAACTGCCGTGGAAGGTGGAAACTGACCGGTCGTGACTGGGACAAGATTAGCTGTTCTTTACTGGAGCATCATGACTTTGGGAACATGAGTTTTGTCCACTCTAGGGCCTCTTGTGTGCAGGGACCAGACGCATCATCTTAGATTCACCTTTGCGTATCTACCATGTTCATTCGGGGACAACGCAAGTTCATCTGTAAACATACAGAAACAACATTGCAGGGATGGCAAACAAGATAGAGAGAGAATCATAGAACATTAAGGTGGATTTATCTACTTATACCACAAATGGTTCCATGGTTCAACATAAGACATGGTGAGACAAACCCTCACCCAAGTCCTACCAGGCCATGGGAAGTTCAACAAATATTTCCACACCAGAGGGAACACAAATAGTCTGATGTGTTGGTACTGCTCAACAAGAGTTGATGACCCTGCATACACCTTATTTGAGTGCAGTCTTTGGATGCAGGATGAGCAGCCTCTTGAAGACCTTTTAGCAGTCGAGAAATTAAACCTAAAATTGTCTAAACAATGAATGTGATGAAAGCCAATGGGATCTAATAACAACCTACACTGAAGAAACTTTTAATAAAGAAGAAGAGCAGAGTAAGCGCATCATACCGATATGTCAGGGATGACTGGCTTAATTTTAGACAACTTGCCATCTGAAGTCTTGCTCACGTAGTTCCAGAAGGTAAAAGTGTTGCATGCAGTTTTTTTAGGAACCTCATCCGCTGCAAAGAGTATCCAGAACGTCAATATGATTACACATCACACCATCATGTTTGTGATTGGCTGTTGGCAGAATCGTTTGGTGTTGAGTTTCTGTAGAATCCGAATAAGGTTATTATTACCATGCTTTCATATTCATATTTGATTCCAGCAAAAATATCCATGGCTGAAGGATTCGGCACTGAATTTGCCAAGTATTGCCAAGGAAAATGAAAAATTACAGCATCTGAAGGAACTGAAAGAGAAGCTTATGAAGGAATTGAGTAAATACGAAGGACTGAAACCTGAAATTGTACAGGCATCACAACAGTTAGCTAAAATCAAAGAAGAAAATAGAAAAATGAATACACAATTACATAATAATTAAGTTTTTTTACATTTTTCTACAATTGTAGTGTTCATCTGACTCGGAGTGTAGTTCTTAGATTAAGATAAGTAAAAGTAATTTGAATTTCTAAGTTTTGTTTTATTTCTCGTATCTCAAAATATGAGTACGGAGTGACCCTCTGTAAATTCCCCATTAACTTTTTTATATGACCTAGAAAAAAGTTGTATGCATATATGGTCTGATATAGATTTGTTCATGCACAGTCTTCGGTATATAAAGAATGTCCCAAATGTCGTGAATCAAACGAAAGGGAGTGGTAGGGGGGTCAGTTCTAATCAGAAAAACCACATCTATCCGATTGTTCATGTTTTTTGAGTGGTCCCCATTTCTAAGAATTCGCTAGTTTTCAGACTGCACAATTTTTTTTACTAGTCTTTTGTTATTACTCAATCAGCTTTACAGGGTGTGTTCCCAAACAATGTATCGTTAAAAAAAGCTAACAGTGGACAAATAGTACAGTTAATGTAGGTATAGCAATTGGCTGAACCATAATTTTCTCTGTTGTCAAAAATATCACAGCATACTCGAGTAGGCTGGTAGAAAAAAATAATTGACAGATAATTAGGCCTGTAAAAGTACCGATTTGTTCGCTACCCGTATGTATTCGTTACTTTTAGATTGACGACTCGTTACTAATATTCGTTACTCGTTACTTTCGATACTTGGGTGCTAGAATAATATAGAACCAATTTAACACTGCATCCGTGGCGCGGGGTATTGAGTACCCCACTTCAAATTTCAGCGGCTATACGTCCGGAGTGGGGATGACTAGAGCTACGCGCATCCAGGTAATCTTCAGCAGTAGAGTGCCCAACGTATTAGTGTAGAGCTCGCTAGTTTGTGTGCGACGGTTAGATTTTTGTTGGCCTAGACATTCGCAGTGGGGCTACTCAATACCCCACGCCACCACTCCCGTGACACTCGTGTTTTTTCGCTTATTTCTTTTGTAGGTTTTTACAGTTGGTTTTTAGGTAACATAAATACTATAATTGTAACTTATTTATAGTTTTACATAATGGCACGCCCTGAAAAAGCTAGTACCGATCCAGCTCAGTGGATGAAATGGTTGGAGGAGTTGGAACAAGAGGAAGGCGCTGATGAGTGGTCAGAATCGGACTCAGAAGATGAAGACATAGATCAAGAACCGGATGATGTTCAAGAGGAACAGGGGCTCATCGAATCAGAAACGGATATGAGCGAGGTACAAGGTGAAGTACTGGATGAAGGAATACGCTCTGAACCCTACTACACAGGTAAAGATGGCCAAACCATTTGGAGTAAAATAGCGCCTGCCACATCACGCACTAGGGTGCACAATATAGTTGTCAAAGTCCCTGGTCCTCTTGGACATGCAAGAAACGCTAAAACAGTTTTGGAATGTTTCGATGTTTATATCAACAATCAGATGATTACTATGATTACGAACTGTACTAATATCAAAATTGAGACAATCAAAGAAAAGTATGCACGTGCAAGAAATGCTAAGCCTACAGACGAATGCGAAATTAGAGCATTTTTGGGAATTTTATACATAACAGGGGTTCTAAAAGAAGGTAGACTAAATACTGAGGATATCTGGAATACTGATGGCACTGGAGTAGACCTTGTTTACTGCATAATGAGTTGCACTCGATTCAAATTTTTATACCGTTGTATTCGGTTTGATGACATACGTGACAGACCTGGGAGGCGAGAGTTGGACAAACTAGCCGCTATACGAGAGCTGTTTGAATTATTTGTGAATAATTGTTGTTCATCATATATGCCAAGCAGCTATGTCACTATCGACGAACAGCTCATCGCATTTAGGGGCAAATGCCCATTTAGGCAGTATTTGCCCTCGAAACCAGCCAAATACGGCATCAAACTTTTTCTGCTTGCGGATCCAAAAACGATGATGACTATCAATCTCGAAATTTACTGTGGTAAGCAGCCAGATGGTCCATATAAGATATCGAATTCGCCTAGCGACGTCGTCAAAAGGCTTGTTCAACCAATAAGAAACACCAATAGGAATATCACGATGGACCGATGGTTTACCAGTTTTCCTTTGGCAGTGGAGCTTCTTACAGACCATAAGCTGACTGTGCTTGGAACTATCAAAGCTAACAAAAGGGAAATTCCACCGTGCTTTGTATCCACAAAAGGCAAGCCATTAGAAAGTTCGATGTTTGCTTTCCATGAAAAATGCACGCTAGTATCTTTTGTACCAAAAAAAACAAAAACGTTCTTATGCTTTCAACGATGCATCATTCAGATGAAATTGACAGAGAGACAAATAAGCCAGCCATGATTGTCGATTATAATCACACGAAGTATGGCGTCGATGTTGTGGATAAAATGTGTGTTATGTACAATGTGGCAAGAACTACTCGAAGGTGGCCTTTGGCCATTTTTTTCGATGTAATGAATATAGCGGCTATAAATGCATTAAATTTATATGTAACAAATGGGAATCTTGTAAATGTACTGAGGCGTCAGTTTTTGAAAAGTCTTGCATCAGAACTGGTCAGACCCTGCATAATGCGTAGAATTTACAGCCAAAATGTACCGAGGGTGATTCGACAAAAAGCACACAACTTGCTAAGAATACAAGAAACTCCCAATGAAGACGGAGGAGCTCGAGAAAGAAAAACAGGCCGCTGTCACATATGTCCCAGGAAAAATGATAAAAAAACAACAGCTAGATGCAGTGAATGCCGGAATTTTGTGTGCAAGGATCACCAACATAATATATGTACCGCCTGTTATGACAACGCCAGTGACGGAAGCAGCGACCATGAAGATGAGTGAAATAGGGAGACTATGAGTGGTTTTATTTTTTCAGTTTAATTATTATTTTTCTATATTTTGCTTCATTCTGTTCAGTTCTCCAGTTACACAGTTACTTATTTAGGTGACTTGATGTATTATTATATTATATTATTAACAGTTCTTGTATACATTGATAATAATTATACTGTTTATACCCCAAAGACCCACATTCCTTAGATGGGGTATACAATACCCCACGCCACCACTGGTGTTAAAAAAACCAGCGCCACCGATGCAGTGTTAAATACCGCTTGTATATGCGTGCGTGGTAATCGTCGGCACATTCATTCATTCATACCATAACTGAATTACAATAAATATTGATGTAGTTGTAAATAAGTTGGGAAAGGAAAAGAAATGTAACTGCAATATGAATAAAGAAACTTTTTTTTAATTTATGATTTATAACATAACATAATATAGGTAATGTTTAACAAGAGTATTTAAAAAAGACAGCGAAACATAGATCATTTAAAATAACATGCAAATAAAACCGCATTCTTGAACAAAAACAAAGTATAAAAAGAAATCCTAAAAATATTCAACAAAACTAAAATATTTATTACCTATCTTGGTTAACACAAAATGAACTAGAAACTAAGAAAAACCACTTTTATACCAATAGTCTTTGGTTCATACGTAAAAAGAGAATTTTTTCAACGCGTTTCGGTTTCAACGAGGCACGTTTGTCTGATAATATTTGCCCCCACTCGGAAAATTTTCTTTCCGATGGCACCGATGTAGCCATCACACATAAGTATTTTTGTGCTAAATTAGACAATTTTGGATATAAAGGTGTTCGCGCGTGCCACCATTTAAGTGGATTTTCTTTTCTAAATAAAAGCTTTTCTTCCATATACTGGCTAAAGGTAATTATACTGGCAGATGTCTTTGATGCTGTAGTACTCATGGTTGTTGTTCTTCTATAACACCCTAGCCAAATAGAGTCTTCTTGGTCGTCAAACATAGGAGAATCTGTATCTTCGCTTTCGGATTCATTCACAAACGATGGTTTTGCCATCCTTTCCAATTCTTCTTTCACAGAGTTTTTTGCATACTCATAGCATGAATCGTCAGCAAAAGCTTGTCTCTTAAACCTAGGGTCTAAAATCGCAGCTTTTGATAGAACTTGGTGTCGCAAGCTATTTTTGAACCTGATATTAAATTCGGCTTTCAGTTTAGAGACTAATTGTTTGGACAAATCACAAGTCAGAGTGTTATTCAAGTTATTGAGTATTCGTAAGACGCTGGAATTTCCTGCCGAAATTTTTGAAATAGTCACTTCGTTTTCAGACGAAAATTCCTCAGTAAGTTGTTTGAATGGTTTTAATATTTCTACAACTTCTGGAAGAATCCGCCATTCGTTTTCTGATAGGTTTTCAACTGGATTATGCAACAAACCTATTGCAGCTTCTATAGGCTCTTGTAGATTTGCAACTCTTTCTAACATATCTAACGTGCTGTTCCAACGAGTTATAACGTCCATTATAAGTTTCAGGGGTTTTTGTCCAGGTTTTAGTTGTTCTTGCACGGCACACAGCTTTTTTGTGGCAATAGAGCTTCTATGAAAATATTCTACAATGCATTTTACTTTTTTTATAGGTTCTTGTATTGTCTCAAGACTTGCCCGAACTATTAGGTTGAAAGTGTGGGCAACACATTGAAAATGTTCCCACCCTGTCAGCCGAATAGCAGCCTTCATATTTGATGCATTGTCTGTTACGCAAACAAATATTTTATCATTGATCTCCCAATCAGTCACAAGATTTATCAACTCCTGTTTTATGTAATCGGCCGTATGTCGCTCTTGACATTCGAAACAACCCAAGAGGGCGGAACGCATTTCCCAAATATCTCCTAAAATGTAATGTGCTGTTACCGCCTGATAAGAAGTTGTAGCACGAGAAGTCCATCCGTCTGTCGTTAAACATATAGTATATGTGATGTACTTTTCAACTCGTCTTTTAATTTTTCTTTCACCAGCGTGAATTGCGCATCCAGCAAACCTCTACTAAGCATATATCGCGAAGGAATTGGATAATTTGGTTCAAGATAATTGATTAACTCAATAAAACCTGAATCTTCCACGATAAAGAAAGCTTGCAGATCCCTAATTATTAATTTCAAAATCAAATGATTAATTGTTTTCTCTCGTGCGGCACTTAGAGGTTTTCTAGTAAATAATGTGATGTCGGTTTGCTGAGCTTCTTTCTTTCTCTTAGGTTCATTTGAAGAAGATTGAAGTTGCGAACATTCTTAACGAGAATACGCTATCATAGGTCGGTCGATGTTTTGTCATTTTAAATGTTTTTTAAGTTTGTTGTTGAACCCCCTTTGATCGAATACGAAAATTGGCATATATCACACTTGACCTTATTTTCTATTTCTTTGCTAAAAAACTGCTAAATCTTACTTCTTTTTCCCTCCATGAAGTCGAGACTTTTAACAGCAAGTACTGAAACAACATAAGAAAACGTATTAAAATAGGAACATCGTCCGTCAGTTTACTACATATCTACATTTATGTAAGTATTATTCTCCCTGATTTTAAAAGATTTGTTATATTCGTTGCTTACACGGTTACGGTCATTCCACAATAATACAAAAAATCACTATAATTTACATTAGGTTTTTAAGTGGGTACTTTTATTTTATAGATTTCATTTACGCTCCTAATTCCTTCCTCAAATCCTATTAAAATAAATACCACGTGTTTAAAACTTACCTATTTAAAGCAATTCAGTTTCAGTTATACACCATCAAAAAACTCTACCAAGTGGCAACAAACAGAGTAACAACAGCATAAACAAACACAAGTATCAAGTACACAAGTCGGTTCGAGTGGTTCGAGCAAATCACATCAAAGATGCCAACGAATACCGAAACATACGAAAGTAACGACATCCGAACCGTCACCGATATCATACAGGATATACCATACGTACGTCTAGCAGCCCGCCAGACCGACACGCCTTCGGCAAACCTTCGGTCACTTTGTATAGGTTGCCTATAACATTGATGCTGGCTGATAGCGATAACCACGTAATTCAAATCGTTACTGATATACTGTATGCTGTGCATTATTTTAAATCTTATTATATTTCTGCAATCACTTAGCTTTTATTTGATATTTTTATGCGAGTTGATTCACTTTAATAAGTTTAATATCTTCATAATAATATTTTTTTGAATAAATCTTTTGGTACTGTTTCAAACATGCGAGTAACGATATGTTTATGAAAGTAACGATTCGGTACTTCGAATCTTTCCTACTATTCGTTACTCAGTACGGAGATAATGCTTCTTGTCACACAGCAATGTCAATAAACGAGTTTTTGGACAGTAAAAACATTCCTGTGGCTCCTCAGCCTCCTTATTCTCCTGACTTGAGTTCTTTTGACTTTTTTCCCTTCTCGAAGTTGAAAAATCACCTCAGGGGAACACACTTTGAGACATTCGAAAATATTCAAACAGCTGTAACCGACCATCTGAAGGCTATTCCAGTGTCGGAGTTCCAGCACTGCTATGAGGAATGGAAGAACCATCTCCAGCGCTGTGTTGCTTCAGAAGGAAGTTATTTTCAGGCTGACAAAATAAAATTATACATATTTATATTTGAATAAGAAAATTGAAAAAAATGAGACTATTATTATAGCATAATTTATGAACATTAGGGCATGTTGCTCGTAAGAAACATTGCCCTGCAAGAACGTAATATTCAAGTTTATGGTTTTGTATGGAATGCTTTTAAATAGTTTCGGTTTGGTGCAAAACAGAGAATTAAATTGCATTTAGTGCACCATTATTGCTGAATAACGACTAGGGCTATATCTGCATCGTCCTTTGGGTCCTTGGTCAAGGCCATAATAAGGCACATCCTGAACAGGTACAGCTACATTTTTCTTTTAGGGAGGTGTAGCTTCAACTAGTGAAGGTTTTCCAACCTTTGTCTTCACTGCCCCAACTAGGTCCTTTGCAATGTTCATCCGAAATGCTTTCAGAGACATAATCTTGTCAGCAGTCTCCCGTCGATACAGCAACCAACCATTCACCACACATAGATCCAATATGAAACCAAAGAGTGGCAAGTACCATATAGACAAACAAATAATTCTAAATTCTTCATAAAAGTTTAGATTAAAATTAGAATTACAAGATTTAGAAAATACCTTGGAAAGCTGTTATGAAGCATTAATACCAATTACAACCAGAAAAGAGCAAAAAAAAATTGGAATTTATTTCACATTCAAGCTGCTAGAAACACATGTTGCTTAAAATCAAGATTACCAGATAAAGGGTTAATCCATCAAAAATATTCAGTAGGTAGCATTTATGAATATACTAGATCAGTCTTTAACAAAATGGGTGATAACGCCCCTCTAAGGGCAATTCCCGGGGCAATGGCTAATTTGTGTTTTTGTAAATACAGATCAAAATTTAAACTTAATTTCGGGGGTGCTAGAAAATAATTGATTTCCAAAGTGAAGGTGGATGAAATAAGTCTGAGAACCTCCGATCTAGAGGCTCATTTTGAATTTCAGTCTCGGCCCCAAGACATTTTGGTTCTTTACTCCTGAATAGCTTCGATCTTATTTCTGTAATCGTTGGCGGTTGAGGTGGGTAGTTAGTCAGTAGTAGGTTAGTATAACGAAGACATATCTTTAATGATCATATTCCTGATTCTTAAAACGCATTTCTCTGCTCTGAAACACCGCAGAATTTTATTAGTATTTGTACGTACTATGGAAGGATTCAAAATCGCGTCACCTGATTTGAGTAAACTGGGCATATACGAGCCCCTTCCCACTTCAGTTGGCCCAACTATTGAAATCTTAGTTTTTTCTTATCAAACACAAATAATAAAAATGTAGCAGGGTGTTATAGGCTTAAAATATTAACAATGAATATTTTGATAATATATAGTAGAAAACACCAACTTTATCACTCCCTAATCAAATCTGCAGCATAAAAATAACACATGTTGCAATTACAGCGTATCAACCTATTTTCATTTCAATGCAAAATAAGTCTATAACGCATAGGTGGCTGTGAAAAATAAAAGCCATGACATTTGTTTTTATTAATCACAGCTGTCAGAATAAGTTTAAAATAGTTTTGGGTAGTTAAGGTTTTCAAAATGGGTAGAGGAAAGGTTATTAGTGAGAAAATTCAGTTACTGATAATTAAATTTTTTAATTATGGGAAATCAAACTCAGAAATTGGAACTTTGTTAGAATTATCGCGGTACAGTGTGAGAAATATTGTTAGAAGATATAACGTAACTGATTCAGTTAATATTAAGCCACGATATGTGAAAAAAAGTAAAATCACAAATGCCGACCGAAGAGCATTAAGAAGAATAATCGTGAAAAACAGGCGTGCCAATTATTTACAATCAAGTGCTCTGTGGAATGACGCTGTTGGAAGGAGAATTTCGAGGTCCACAACTCATAGAGAGGCCCACAAACTGGGATTTAGCACTTGCAAGGTAAGTTTTCTTATAAAAAAATGAAGTAAAAACCCTAAAGTTGCACAACTTGTTTATAGGCCAAAAAAAAGCCAATATTAACCACTGCAAAAGAAAAATCTGCTTAGATGGGCTAAAGAACATAGACAATGAACACCTCAACAATGGTGTGCAATACAATGGAGTGATGAGGCCCGATTCGAAGTTTGTGTAGGTGTCAGTCGCAGTAGAGTTATTCGCAAAAAAATGAAGCATTCCATTTTGACTGTCTGAAGAGAAAAGTGAAATTTTCAGCATCCATTATGGTCTGGGGCAGTATGTCATCAAAAGGAGTAGGAAAACTTCATTTTATTGATGGAAATGTGGATACAAACAAATATTTGGCAATTTTAGAAGAATCGCTTTTACCAGTGATGGAAAAATGTTTGACATCCGGCCAAGATTTTGTGTTTCAGCAAGATGGTGCAGCGTGCCATACCTCAAAAAAGAAAAATACTCTATTATAGAGACATTTTATTGGCTAGATGGCATGGTGTGAGAAAGTTTCTGAAAGGCTGACAGATAAAAAATATGTTTGTGAATTGAATTTTATGAACATATTTTTTTATCTGCCAATCATTTCCTTGGGGGTGAAGATGAATTTATAAACATATTTTTTTATCTGCCAGCCTTTCAGAAGTTTTCTCACACCATGCCACCTAGCCTATAAATTGTCTCTATAATAGAGTATTTTTTTGAGGTACAACTGATTTTGGGGAATCATTTCCTTGGGGGTGAAAATGAATTTATTAAACATATTTTTTTATCTGCCAGCCTTTCAAAAGCTTTCTCGCACCATGCCACCTAGCCAGTAAATTGTCTCTATAACAGAGTATTTTTTTGAGGTACAACTCATTTTGGGGAATCATTTCCTTGGGGGTGAAAATAAATTTTTAATTATATTTTCTTATCTGCCACCCTTCAGAAGCTTTCTCACAGCATGCCACCTAGCCCATGAATTGTCTCTGTAATAGAATATTTTTTTGAGGTAAAAATCATTTTGGGGAATCATTTTTTTGGGGGTGAAAATTAAGTTTTATTTATATTTTTTTATCTACCACCCCTTTAGAGATTTTCTCAGTATATGCTATTTAGCTCATCAATTACTTTCAATACCATATACACAATAATCCGTAAGTGAAAATTCGAAGAAAGGTTTTGGGTTAACTCTTGTTTCTGCGAGTTATTTAATTGGGGTGGAAAATGATTCTTCCTATAGGGGTGCTTATTCTCGTCTATATATATTTATTGTTGCGAGCTGTTAGCTGTATCCTTCACAATCACAGTCTGGTCGAGGATGTCGACGCCACTGGTCATTCGGGTATCTTCGGCAAATT